TAAATATTCTTTATTATTTGCATTAATGTTTTCATCATCAAAGACTCATCATACTTGATGAACTTCTAATAATTGCAGATTTTAAAATTCTTGATAATCCTGTTTGATTTTGTGATTCTCTTTTTAATAAAGTATCAAAGTCAATATTAGAAGTACTACTGCTTTAGCTTTAGCTTCAGAGATTTTAGAGGCTTCAGGATGTTGAGCTTTTTTTTTTTTAAGAGCTCTTTTTTTTTTTTTTTTTTCTCTCTTTTTTTGTATAAGCCTTTATTTTTCGTTTAGTCTAATATAAATAATCTGGTTCATTATAATCATCATCATCATTATCACTAACTGATTCAATTTCATCTCTTTTTAATATTCTTTTATACCAATCATATTTTCCATGTAAAAATAGTAAAGGATATGCTAAAGAATCATATGCACTATGTAATTCAGATATTCTTTCTAATTTATCATCATGTCTTACAATAAGAATATCTTATATGTATATTTTTATTAGAAAAACAAATTGCAGCTACTTCTTTAACTAGTGGTACATTATATTGTCTCATATCTTTGCTATGCTTATTATGTATTAAAATATAATACAGAAGATCTTTTAGATCCTCATTTCTTGCAGATATATAAGTATCTACAAAAAGATTTAAATTCATTAATACATTTTGGATATTATTTATTATATCCCTGTTTAATGTTTGCTGCATTATTTTATGTCTTCTATCAATTTGTGCTTTAATATCTGAAGAATTATAAAAATATATTTGGGAAAATTTTGGTATTCCCCCTTGTTCTGGCAAAGCTGAGCTAATTTTATGATAATAATTATTCTGAATTCTATAGCAATAGGCCCTCTTTTTTTCATTAGCAAAATCCAAATCCAAATCAGTAGCAATTGATATAAAAACAAATGCTTTTATTTTGTTAACAAATGGTACTTTAGATATTGGATCTTTTTCTGTAAGCAAATAATAAATTTCTGGTAATGGTGCTTGAAGTGGTGCTAATATAACTTCACCATTTATACAACAAAGTCCTGGTTTTTTTTACTTTCTATTTTAATGCCTCACAATGTTTATATTCAATATTCATTTTCCCTACACTATGCTCCCCATTGTTTTTTTTATTATCTCTATCATTATTATCATCATCATCATCATCATCATCATCTTCACTATCATTTCCACTATTATTTTTATTTCTATCTCCATCATCATCTCTATTATCATCTCCACCATTATCTCCACCATCATCTTTAACCTTCTCCTGATAATCATCTAAACTACAATATTCTATTTTATAAAATTGTTCAAATTGTTCTTGTTTTTTCTTTTTATATCTTTGTTTTGCACTTTCTTTATCTTTTTATCTTTTTTTTTCTTTTTTTGCTTCACTTAAAGAAGCTCTATATTCTCGTTGTCTATCTTTTTGTCCTTCTTTTGTTTTTCTCTTGTTTCTAATGATGTTCTAGTTTTAGACCTTGTTCTTGTTAAAGGACCTGCATCTTCTTCTTTTAATCTTTAGTAATGTTTAAATTTAGCTTGTCATTTATTTCTTAATCTATTTTTTCTATTTGCTTTAGATTCTTTTTCAGGTTTTTCAGATGCTGCATACATTTCTAAAATATAATCAGAAGTAGGTTTCTTTTTTCTTGTTTCTTTTTTTTCTTTTTTCTTTTTCTTTTCTTTCTTTTCTTTTGGTATTTTCTATCTCAGTAAAAAAAAAATTATAATAAAATTATTAATTATTTGTATAATTTATAAATAAAACAAGATCAACTTTTTCTAACGATCATTTGGACCAATTTTTACCAAAGGAAAACAGAACTTTTGTTGGAGAGTTGTGGCCTAACATAGCGGTTTGCCTAGAGATCAATGGTTTTACTCTTCCGAAATTCTTTTATAAGTTGTGTATTTAACATGCAAGCCAAAAGCATTGGTATACAAGATAACTGGCTGGAGATGTGTGTCCTTGGATACAAAATTTTGGTGAAAAAACAAAAGTCTATTCGTCGATGAAGTTACTTAGACTGTTACTTCCAAAGGAAGAATATAGGGGAAACAACAAAACTCTGCTTTTCCTTAAACTGCACTCTTTTACTTGGTCAAGTAGTTCCTCTTTTACTTCTACACGCTCTCCCGTCAGTTTTCCATAAAAATTTTGACAAAAAGTAGGGATTTGGCTTACCCCTTCAAAAGATTAGCATTGTTTACTTCCCAAATCTGGACAGATTAGCGGAATGCAACTACATGTTTGTTTATAGACGAATATGACACTACTTCAAAGAACTCAATCTGGGAACTCTAATTATAGCAACAGGTGGCTTGAGACACGGGTTCTTGGATGACAGCAGCACCTGGCTCGAGATATGAATTAAGACAGGCAACGGAGCTATCCGGAGTCAGTGGGAAGGTCGAAAAATAAATTTAACGTTAAGGTGAAGCGATATACAAATGTTGCATTTGTTATATAATTTTTATTTTTGCCTAGCATGGGTTATAATAGTGCTCCATAGATTGTTATTTTTTTCTTTTTCACAATTTGTATCTGTTTTTTCTTTCTTTTCTGTTTTTTTTTTTTTTTTTGTTTTCATACAACCTTTTTGAAAACTTCTCTCTTTTTGTCTCATGCCTCTTGAGAAGAAGAAAGAATTAGAAGGAAAAGTTTAGTAGTTATAAATTGGCCATATAATAGCCAGCGAAGTATCAAGGAAGTATCTTTATAGTACTAAATCCATTAAAAGTTTTGGATCCTAAGAGAAGTGAACAGTTGTTATGACAGATCGACTTGGGCAATATGCTTGGGTAGTTTTTATTAGATAGAACCATATTCGTAAAAAATTGTTGTATTCATTTAT